AAAAAAAAAAAGAAACTGCCAGAATATGTCCTGCCTTCTCTGTATACAGTAGTTGATGGGCTACCCATTTCTAAACCTTAATCTTTAATCTCGTATTTATAAGGGTTATCATTTTTTAACATGGTAGTTAGACTCTCAAAAGATCAGAGGAACAGAATGAAATAATATAGCTAAGATTCAACTGATTTCTCCTTCATTCTGGTGGTGATCTTTCTAAGAACTGACAATGGGCAAATGGCCCATTCAAAAAGCAAAAAAATAAAGCAAATCAGTCAAGTGGTTTGATGAGTATTACCTTCTTCAAACCTGAGGCAAAAAAAGGAAATAGAGAGGGTTATCCTTCCCTTTGACCCTTTCAGTTTAGAAGAGAGGAAATCAGATTTAACTCCCTTAGAAGTGCAGATTCACAAGAGTGGCTTATCAAACGATCCATTAACTAGGGAAGATTGAGGCCTGACCATAGGTCAGCTCACTGGGGTAGTGGACTGGGGATGGAGGATGCTCTTTAGTGCAGGCAAGCAGGCATGATAGAAGAGGTCTCTTAGAACAGGCGTCCTCAAACTACGGCCCACAGACCACATGCGGCCCACTGAGGACATTTATCCAGCCTGCCGGTGTTTTTGCCGCTGCTGCCTGTCCTGCTTAGCAGCCAACTCGTCCCGGGGCCTGCCGTTCAGCCCTCCGATGGTCTGAGGGACAGTGAACTGGCTCCCTGTTTAAAAAGTTTGAGGACCGCTGTCTTAGACTGTCAATCACAGCTAGAACAAGACTCTATTCCTCAGACTCCTTTCCACTTGCTAGCTTTGAGTCCCTATACCACATACCCAATACATATGAAGCCTCCAAAAGTCTATCACCTATCAATAAAGACTGAGTTCCCAGTATATATTGCCACTAGAATCTAACAGTCCCAAATATCTGCCCTTTAAGGTCAGTTAGCCAGATAAGAGCCAGCCTAGAGGACATCTAGTCCAGTCTCTGTATTTTACAGGTGAGGAAACTGAGGCACATAAAATTATTCAACTTGTCAGGGGTTACCACAAAGTCAGCTGCTAAGTAGTATATGTGGGACTCCTAGTTAAGTCCTTCTGCCTCTTTTATACCATCACACCTCTTTTTTCTTTTTTTTTTGAGACAGGAGCCTCAATCTGTCCCCCTGGGTAGAGTGCTATGGCATCTCAGCTCACAGCAACCTCCAACTTCTGGGCTCAAGCGAGTTTCCTGCCTCCACCTCCCAAGTAGCTGGGACCACAGGCGTCTGCCACAACGCCTGGCTATTTTTTGGTTGCAGCCGTCATTGTTGTTTGGCGGGCCGGGCTGGATTTGAACCCGCCACCTTGGGTGTACGTGGCTGGCGCCTTAGCCACTTGAGCCACAGGCGCCGAGCCGTTTTTTTCTTTTTCTTTAGAGACAGCATCTTTATTGCCCTTGGTAGAGTGCTATGGCATCACAGCACACAGCAACCTCCAGCTCTTGGGTTTAGGTGATTCTCTTGCCTCATCATCCCAAGTAGCTGGGACTACAGGCGCCTGACTATTTTTTTTTGTTGTTGTTGTTGCAGTTTGGCCTGGCAGGTGGAACCCACTACCCTCGCTACCCTGGATATATGGGGCCAGCACCCTATTCACTGAGTTACAGGCGCCGCCCACCATCACACCTCTTAAAGAAGCAGGAAATGATGAATTCTGAAGAGGGCACCAGGACTGAATCAGGCGCTCAGACTGGACAGAGTTTCTGCCTTTATTTGGTTTTTGGTAATTACTTGCTTGAAGACTAAAAACAAGTTAGGAAGACCAGGATTCCCTGAGAATTGGGATCCAGTTCCATATCCTTCACTATTCTCTAGAAGGTCTTGACCAACCCTTGTCAGGAAAGTTGGAATAGAAGCAATTCATCAGGAGGCAATAGAGAAATGCTCAGTAACTTTTGCAGAATTCAGCAGGCCCTGGGAGTAATGTGAGAGATTCACTAAGTAGGGAAGATAGGGTAGAAGCCAATAAATACTTCATCTCCCCTTCAACTTTGTTTAGAAATCACCAAAATTTTGAACTGACAGTTCCACAATGTAGCTCAGCTCTTTCATTGTAGGTATTTTTTGTTGTTAAAGACAGAAAATCTTGCTATGTTACCCAGGCTGGTTTCAAACTCTTAAAACTCCTGGGCTCAAACAGTCCTACTGAGTAGCTGGGACTATAGGCGCATACCACCAAACCTCACTTCTTTCATTGTTTTGATCCAATGTTATCCAGTGAGTCACTGGATTAAATGAGAATCCTTCCACTCCTCGCCCTCTGCCTTATATATGTCCAAGAGGCATACTTATCTCTTATCTGTATGGTAGTATAAGCTCCCTATTATTGACCTAGGAAAGATTGGAACGTCCTTTCCTACTTTGTCTGCCTAGCAAAATCCTAAAGTATCCTGTTAGGCCAAGTTTAAATGTTACTGCTGTGAAATTGCATAATTATCCTCTCACCCCAGTAGAATTCATCACTGCATCTTCTAGTGCCACATAGGGTCCCACAGTATTAAGACTGTACTTCTTACTCTGGGAGGCTGAGGCAGGTGGATTGCTTGAGCTCAGGAGTTTGAGGCCAGCCTAAGCAAGAGCGAGACCCTGTCTCCACTAAAAATAGAAAAGCTAGCCAGCCGTTGTGGCTGGTGCCTATAGTCCAATATACTATACTGGGAAGGCTGAGGAAGAGGACTGCTCAACCCCAAGAGTTTGACTGTGAACTACCATGATATGGCACTCAGGATGATGGAGTGAGACTGTTTCAAAACAAAAGCAATTAGGCTCGCCGCCCATAGCACAGTAGTTACAGTGCTGGCCACATACACAAAAGCTGGCAGCTTCTAACCCAGCCCAGGCTAGCTAAAAAACAACAATGGCAACTGCAACAACAAAAAATAGCTGGGTGTTGTGGCGGGTGCCTGTAGTCCCAGCTACCTGGGAGGCTGAGGCAAGAGAATCGCTTGAGCCGAAGAGTTTGAGGTTGCTGTGAGCTGTGACACCATAGCACTCTACCAAGGATGACATACTGAGACTCTGTCTCAAACCCCTCCCAAAACAAGCAAACAAACAACAAACAAACTGTACTTCTATCATAGCATTTATCACATTATATGAATTGTGTCTAACTATGACCCTCTTAAAAAGTGGGACTTTTTTTTTTTTTAATGACATCTTAGGTCTTCAGAGCCAAGCACGATGCTTAGTCCCTAAAAGGTTCTCCCCAAATTAAAGGTAAGTAAACCTAGGCTGGGCATGGTGGCTCATGCCTGTAATCCTAGCATTCTGTGAGGCCGAAGTGGACATTCAGTTCAGGAGTTTGAGACCAGTCTGAACAAGAGTGACACAGGGTCTCTATTAAAAATAGATTAGCCAGGCATTGTGGTGGATGCCTATAGTCCCAGCTAGTTGGGAAGCTGAGGCAGGAGCATCACTTGAATCCACGAGTTTAAGGTTGCTGTAAGCGAGGCTGATGGCACAGTTTTAAGACTATGTCTCAAAAAAAAAAAAAAAAAAGTTCAGAAATCCTGCTTCCTTCTCCTCCCTCAATTAACTCCTCCCCTTCTGTGCCATCTGGATAGATCTTCCACAGTTTCTTTTGGAAATGTTTTTAATAGAGAACCCATTTTCTCCTTGACCCCTCTGTGATCTCCTTTGAATGAAGGGCCCCCTTGGGACGCAGCCCACAAGGTACTGTTGCAACTTACATGGGCCAACTGCTTTTCCTGTCATCGGTTACCATGCCTCAGATGGCCTAATCACACCCAGTATGTGGCCCTCCCACCCACACACTAAGGAAAATGTAGCTAAAAAAAATTTCTTTTCCTGATTTTCAGTTAATGTTAAGTGTTCAAAAAGCTTTGGATCATTATCTACTCATTCATAACTTGAGAAACACAAGAAAGGAATTTCTATCACCACAGAGCCAGGAGAAACTCTGAAAATGTACCCACTGCCCTTAACAGAAACTATAACCTTGCCCAGAAATCTGCACACACTTTGCTCACCTGGGTGGCTCCTTATTCAGCTCAGTCACTATTCAGTCAATAATTAAATTTTTCCTAAAATACTTGTGGGAAGTAGGAGTGTAATAGGTAGGCTTTTATGGTATGTTTCCTCCCAAAGTGCTGCGGCATTTTCTAAAGTTCACTGTCTCACACTTTGGTTACTTTCCAATTTGAAATGTTTTAGGATAAGGGAGTAAACTACACACTTGCTTCTCCCACCCTATGCCTCCTTCTCAGAAGTCAAATTCCTATAAATGCACACAAACAAGCAAACTATAGAAGAACAGTCCTTGGTCCTAGGTAAAATAAGACTTAGAATATAGGTATGTTCTGTATTAGGGACTATCCAGGGGAAAGAAAAAAGAATATGAGGTATGACTTTAAGCACAACAGGAAAGCCCACTTCTCCATATTTTTGCAACTCTAGGCCTATGTTTGAAATTCCATATTCATAATTCAACTCCTTAACTCCCTCTTAAGAGATAAAAATTCTTAGAAGAATTACTGTAAGGCTGGGCGAGGTGGCTCGCACCTGTAATCCTAGCACTCTGGGAGGCCAAGGCAGGTGGACTGCCTCAGCTCACAGGTTTGAGACTAACCTGAGCAAGTTCTAAAAATAGCCCAGTATTGTGCAGGGTGCCTATAGTCCCAGCTACTTAGTCTCAGCTACTTGGATTCTCA